GGATATAATTTCATCGTTCTATCGTAATATCTCGTTCGTCGATCGGTTTTATTAAACTATGCTTTTGTATCGATGCTTACATGTCGCACGCGTGACGCATAAGAAGCAGAAGAAAGAAATAAGCGAAATATTCAATTTATACGATCGATATTTTCCTCTTGTGCGAATTAATCCGATTTCTGATTCGGATCGTATCCGTTCGATTTCGAAAAAAAAAAAGCAGACGAAAGAAAAAACATCGACAACTACGAGTCGTTGAAAAACAAAGAGGAAATGATTACGTTAATAAAATACTCGTGAAAGCGAAAGGGTTGAAATTGTCGAGAGAAAGTAACGCGAAACAATTCGATTTAATCCCATTCGATCGTATTATGCGCATGCACACGTATGAAAAGTATCGTGTAGCGAGAGGCAAGTTGCTGTCAAAACCAAACACTGAAAATCGAAGCCAGACGCGCGGGGCGGATTCAATAGGGGCCTTCGTACATCCAATTATCGGCTTCCTTATAAGATCGCATTGTATGAATTATACATTGTATCGACGAGCGGCTAGAAAGCTCATGCTTCGTTTAACAACGCGCCATCGAAAAATATAATATGTCGCTCACGATAATTCAAGTTGCTTTTTTTCTTCTTCCTTTTTTTTTTTTTTTTTAATTCGAGTCGCTTAAGAATCGTTAAGGTTTTTATTCGTCACGATCGTAGCCTGTATCGATCTATCGATTTACATATCTACTCGGCCAGGTGATCGATCAAAATATAACCGGTTGTTGACACTTGCACAGATTATAGATTATGCCTCTTCCGTTCGAGAAAAAATTTTCATCCACCTGTTCAATACCTTTTAAAGATAATTTGAAACCAGCCAAGTAAATTTAAAGCGAAAAAGGCAAATATTTAACGCGCCTTTTAAAATAATTTGAAAATCGACCAATTTAAACTTATTATTCGCACCTCGACTAATGGAAAATCAATCGATTTTCAACGAAATTCGAAATTTCGAAAGCTCGCTCGACTTATTTGCATACGCGATGGGAATTGGCTGATATTCCAAGTTCATTTCGAGTCGTAAATTCGGGACGGGAAGGCATTTCTGCTTAAATATCGTATCACAACTCCGAGAACAACGATTGCTGTTCGACAATTGGTACATCCTTCGAGCAAGGACACGAAGAGAGAAGGTTTTAAAACTAATCTGATTATCCGGTGCTCGCCAATCTTCTCCTCGAAATTAGAACGAGGAGCGTTTCCTTTTTCGAGGATCGAAACTTCTAACGCGACCGTTTTTTCAAGCAAAATTCCGTGAAATTGAATCCCACCCGATCGATGCTCGATTCGCAACGAAATAGCCGGCGTGTAACCTTCTGACATTCCTCCTCCGCGTAATCCCCTTGATGCACGATCTCGAGTTCGAGCAACATTCGTCATATTATCCGACATTGGAGCCCGATCCAAAACTTGTTACGAACTTATCCTCGATACGGGCTCTTCCTTCCTTCCTTTTCCTTGATTGGCCCTCTAAGCTTTCGATTCGTCGTGGAATCAAAACTACACCCTTGGAAAATTGTATCGTGGAATATCGAGACATTCCATTTAGATTTGCCATGTATGCAAAGAAAAACGAGAGTTTATCGATGGTTTAAATTTCATACGAAAAGTGTCGAAAATTGAAATCCCATATCTCGATCCTCAAAATTAACCCGCGCGGATCGAAAATTGCCGATTTCGCACGCGTTTGAGGGACGAGAAACGGGGGGGCTCACGTGGATCAGGATTTTACGGGCGCGTATCAAAGTAACAGGGTGCAAATCTGATTATACCCCGTGCGATACAGGAATGGATCGATCGGTTCGATCGCTTTTAAAATGAGCACCCAGTTAATGCCACAGTTTTTCACTCGTGATCATTCGTCGTTTCGAGTCGACCGAGCCAAGATCCGAATTGACGGACTCGAAAGAACAGCGGCCAGCCTAGATGAAACTGAAATATCAACGATAATGAGTAAAATTGAGAACGATCGTTTAAAATTAACGTTTGGCGATCGTTGATCGGATACGGGCGCAATTTCGGCTGCAAGTATTCGATTATGATTTGCAAAACGCGTACCCTGTTGCTGGCATTCATGATTTTCCGCGAGGGCGGCGTGCAAACGGGCGGCCGTATTCACTGAATCGTTAATATTTTCGCGACGCCATTATGCACAATTATTCCACAATTGCGCCCAATTTCTATCACTACAGGGAACCACGTCCAAGTACTCGGATATTACGTAACGACACATCGGCGTGTTGCCTATTAATATTTTGCGCTTGTCATCGAAATTCAATTTCCGCCCAGTGGTCGGCGTTCACCGAGAACTCTAATTCAGTGTCTGTGGTCGCGTCAATCAACCATGCCATCCCCCGGGCTAACTAGTTAGAAATAATTAACGGTTTTGCGAGCTCCCGTATATGTATAAATCGTATTCATCCGATGAAACATCGTCACCCTCGACCCAATTTCCATAACCCTGTATTTTCTTAACTTGCTCGCCTCGCTTAATTCTAATTTATCGATTTATACGTTATTCAAACAAATTTCAGGTGAAATTCCCTCTGTAACAGGTAGTGGAGAAATCGATCGATCCGTAATATCGAAAGATTTGTTATGGTTTATTTGATCGTTGGTTTAAAGACAATAAACGGGTCAACGTTATGCGGAGCGAGCGTGGAAATCCCCTAATAATAGCTGTGTATAGCCGGGGTTCTTAATCATTGGAGATTATACACGAACGGTTGGATCGATTCTTCCATGATTTATAGGTTTAATTTAATACCGGCACGCGATCTAATTAGGTTTTCCTAATTTCGATCGGGCGGGAACGGCCGATTTCGTGTAAAATCTATTAAAATTTAAATGTTCGATGAATATTCGGGAAAAGAAAAACGGGGAAGAGAATTGAACGTCCACGAACGATGAAAACAACAAAAAAAAAAAAGAGAACGTTATCGTAACACGTTAGTCACGAAATTCTTGAATTATATTGCTTACTTTCTCCCTATGTATTCAATTTCTGACGAATATTGGAACGTTCAATCTGTAGGAAACTGAGGCTCCGAGTTCGAAGAAATATATATATCTGGGATATTTTAATATCTACATCCGACAACATTGATTCAGAGAGTAATAATCCACGATTTATATATACGCCAAGGAAATATTTGTTGCAATGTTAAACGTTTTTTCATGTTTATATATATATAAATACTGATATGATTGCAAAACGGAACTTATTATAAATCCCTGGTAGATCAACGGTTAATTTGGCGCCGCTCAAGCATGAAGGAATGATCTGAATAACTGATGTTTCAATAAGAATCATTTCAATAATCGGTGATCAATGATGCATTGACACGCGCGTCAACCGATGAATATTCTCGTTGACTAACTCGAAAAACAATGTCATTACCAAGATATCAATTCAACGAGCAGAGAATTAAATTAAGAACGTGGAAACGGGATTAAAATGTCCGAACGAACATTTAAAGCGAATACGCATTAATGTACGTTTGTAATTCATGTGTATCCGATATTTAATTTGGTTTAAATTAAATCGCGATAGAAGTGTTGTAATACGAATTTAAGCCAGTGATACCTGTGCATTTAGCATTGCAGCGGAGTAGCCCGATTTTTATCGATCCACACGTTTCACCATTATTCGGTCGTTACCGATGTAGCTGATACGCGTTAAACTTTATAGTTACGAAAAGTTTTTTTGAAATTTTTACCAACCAATCGTTTTCTCTGTAAAGAATAAAAAAAAAAAAAAGAATAGAAAAATATATCGTTCAGCTTTAACTTCTCGATATGCATCTATTTTCAACAAAATTTTAATTCCACTTGTAAATTTTTCCCGTTTGCAAATAAGAAATGTTGAAGTTGCAGAAACAATATTAACCACGATTTCGAAATTTCTTACCGCATAAAGAACATAATAATAATAATAATCCAGTTAACAAAACAACCTGGAAACAGTTAACCTATTTTTGCTCCCGCTCGTAGCGTGGTGATAAATGCTAATATTCTTAATAGCATCCCATACATATTCTCATTAGAACTAAGTTCTCGGGTAATATACCTATTAGATGGTAAGAGTCTGGCTTTGCGCTCTTCAATGTTCACTGAACTAACTTAAGAGGCGCAAGACGTTTTTCACGAAGAAGATACAGTATAAAAAACGCAACTTCGTTGCTGAAAGACCGAGTATTTTGCAACCTACGTACGCCTGTATGAGAGAATGCCTATATTGAAGAGTAAAGTATTTGCCCTCAACTTTTTTTATACCCGTAATCCTCGCCCCAATAACTTTTTAAGACCGATATACACGTATATACAGGTATCTATGTGTGCACGCAACTTTTAAAACGCGCCAGTAAAATTGTCAGCGCCTCGAAACACATAATTTTTAAGCTTTTACGCTTCCCATCGAGGAAACTTCACGATGGTCTACCAAAAGTCGATATACCGAAAAATATTTACGGTTAAAAGAGTTATGGGCTAATAACTAAATTTGATCGGTCAATAATGGAGCAATAATAATCAGTGTTGATTCATTTTCTAACGTCGTTTCATTTTACAACGTTGGCCATTAAGATCGTAACTAATTCTAATCAAACTGTCAACTAACTACTATGCAATTAAGTGAAAATTATTCCACGATATAATAAGCCCATCAGATTCCTGTAAACGTACATCAAATGTATTTACATCAAAAGCAGCTTTCCTATCAAATATATATATCGATCTACACGTTTGGTTAAATTGAAAGGATTCCGTTACCGTATCAAAGCAATGGCTAAGCATTTGTATGACGTGAATCTCTATTAATTGTATCTGAAAGATTTATTACGATAATAACGAGTTCGATATTAAAATGAAAAAAATACATTTCACAGAATGTATACGTAAATATAAAGCGTCGGATATGTATACGCGAACAAGTAATAATCTAGAATTTTTCAATATATAATTTTTCATTAGTCAATATGCTTATGATGAAGTATATATACCGAGATATTCCATGCTCGTTTTTTAGTCCACATTTTTGCGACCAGTAGCTACCGGTGATTAATCAAAGAGAAAATTAGTGAGTCCAAATCTTGATTCACCGTATTCATCGTGACGAATGAATATCGCTATAGTGATTATTATAGTGATGTAATTTAGATCTCTAGTCAAGAATTTTTCCCATTAACATTTAATGCATTCAATTCAATTTTAAAGTATTTTAAAATAATGTTACAATAAAAAAAATTTGTGTATCGTGTCGTTTTAAAATCATAGGCTCGAGGCAAATATTTGTTTTCAGGGTGTTTATCAGACTATACTTGCATGAATCTCGTATACATCATACTTACATCATAGTATGTAATAGGTGTAATAAAAATGCTATAGCATTTTACTAGTCATATAGTCGTTTTGGACGACGACAACGGGTTCGACTGCCTGCCGGTAACATGATTATGTGTACGTGTGTGCTTACACAATAGTTGCCAACTCGATTAGCTGAATCCATAGAAGTGTTCCTCTATCGTGATACAGAAACGGTGGTCTGGTATGGAGATTGCTTGACCGCAAACTAGAACTTCGCTTTAAAGATCTTACTATCCATAACTACTTTAACGATAATGTTAACGTTACCGTGATCACCGTTTGTTATAATTCATCCGTACGATAAACCTAATTTGCCGTTTCGACAAAGAAACAAACGTGAAAAGTTTGTGCATAACGGTTTGTAACGATTTACCGGTTTGTCTGACCGAATTATCATCAATAATTCCTATTAATATTGTTTGAACATCGATCGTAACGATTTCTCGAGACGAGAATTAGATTTCAAGATAAGAAAAAAAAAAAAAAAAAAAAAAATTAAAATGGAATTCGAAATGAGATTTCGAGTGAAAATTTCTCCATGTTCCCATGTATACATACTACGAAACTTTAAAATTGCTATCTATCTCGAGGACTGGAACTTTAAGAAAAAAGGAAATGAATTTACATTTCGTGCTAAAAACTCATTGTAAAAAGAACGTAAAAGTTTTAAGCGCACCAGTTAAGAGCATACGCTCCCTAGAGCTTGTATTCTCATCCACATAACATGCATCGAGTCTGCTGGAAGTGGGTACTATCTTACCTGATAAATTCCGGAACTGTGGTTCTTAGTGTACGTCTTCTTAGTATATGCCGTTGCAGCTTCTGCGGTCCCAGACGGCACGCCTTCGACATATCGGTCACGTACACCATCGTGTAGAATCGCATTCGTAAGACCCAGCAACGTTATCGTCGAGTAAACATCGATAGGAAAGCATTGTCATAATGCACATGGCGATACACTTGCACGCTTTGTAGTTGCATCTGGTCTAACCGTGTCGGTCGTTTCACAATATCATTATACCTGTGTACGATCCTTCCTATCTTGACATAGGTTTAGTTTCTTTTCTTTACTTTCATATCGTGATAATTTTTTTTTTAAACATGAATCCTGTAAACCATAAATCAATTTCTATAGTCGATTTTTGTTTAACATATTTTATAGATTTATCTTTTACAAACGTATAATTTGTATATTTGAATAGAAAATATTAATAATTAGGATATTCCTTATATCGATATTGCAATATACTGTGTGCATAGCCGCACCTATTCTGATATATCTTTCATTCCTTTCCTTCGGGTCTTTATTGGTAATTTCTTCCTCGACGTGTAACCTCTAGACCGTGAAACGATTTCTTAGGTTTTTGTTTTAATCAGGGTTAATAATTCTTGAACGTGAAATTTTTACTGAAACAAAAACCTGTTTATAAGTAGAGATAAATATTTCAAATTTCTTTTTCCAATTTTTATCGGATATACGATCATGTTTTACGATATAATATTATGGCTATCTAATTTATTAATAAAACTTTCACAGTAACCTATCATGCAATCAAACCGAATGAGGTTAAGATCGAATTAATATACTCACCTCTATATTCCTTATAGTATCGTAAACACATATGTTCAACTTTTCCTTTATATCTTTAATACCAAATACACAATGTATAGAAAAGATCACGGAAAGTGTGACATGATGTATCGAGAAACAACTTTAAGCGTGCCATAGTAGATATACATCTACGAAAGACTTATTTCTACTTGCTACTCGAATATTCAAATATTTGCTCTCTCTCTCTTGTCAAAAATCAACTTTCGATATATCGATCATATCGCTATATACTTGTCGTCTCGAATATAGACACTAAATATGGAGATAAATTCAGCATGTTTCGTTATATTAAATAATAAGATAAATATAAGACGAAAATTAGACAAGAGATTCGGAAAAATTAATTTTTGAATATATTCCAAGATAAAAAATTTTAAGACACTCCACTTTTCACAAACCATGTACCAAATCAATCACTTTTAGGTTATTATTTTCACATTCGATAGAACGTTTCGTTATATTAATTCATTTTCGTTCGAAGGAATATTTAATTGGAGCATACAAAAACACATAACCTGTATTTACGCAATTAAAAGATAATTTCTAATTTTTTCATATAAAAATGATTTTTACACTCAGTAATAAAATTCACTCACTAACAAAAAATTGATGTCGAAAAAAGTATAAATGTACATTAATATTCACTAATTGCAATAAAATGACAGATCTCATTCTTGAACTACATGAATCAACGTCAAGATCGAAATCGTTGAAAAATTGGAATAAAAGAAAAAAGAGGATGACGTACATTCCTGTAAATCCATTCTCCAGGTAGAGAATCGTCGATGCGAACGTGTATACAAAATAAACACATAATATCAGACATACGGTAAAGTGCGTGTGTACGTAGGTTAGGCACGAAAGTACGAAAGTAGGTACAACGGTGGACGATATCAAACGGCGCTATCGGGGGATCGGGGCGTTCGGGCGATCTCGGCTTCTGCCGATGTCTCACGAAGTGGGCCGAAAGCAAAGCGCGCGGCAGACGGTCTTCGCGCGTCGAGCTATCTGGTTGGCACTCGCGTCGAGTCGGGCACTTATATTCGAATTGACGTCGCACGTCTCTCGTTCGTTACCTCATTTTATCCTCGTGGTTCATATTAATCACGCTTGCGTCAGTTTCGTTGCTAAGTTTTGTGCTCCGTCCGGTTAGAACGCGCTGTTTGAATTATCGGGCAGTTCGTTTTTCAACAAGGAAGTTAGACAGTGCTTTTTTTTGTGATGTGCATGGAATCAACGAGCAACTTCAAGATGACGCTTGCCTGGGTCTGCCTCATCGGCCTGTTGTGTTCGACGGCAGTTAAAGGTGCGACAAAACAACAAATATGTACTTTATTTTTATCGTATTATTATCGTTCGGCGTAATTTGATTGTAATTATACATATCTCTCGTTCATCGTAACGAAATCAGTGACGTACGTGTAACGGTTTTTTTTTTCGTGGCAACATCGCGCGATTCTTGCGACCATACTTTGCAATAATCGATCTATCGAACGGTTCGAATTCTCGCGTTATTGAAATGGCGTGCAAAAGACGGAAATAATTCTTGTAAAAACTATCGTGTTCACGTGAAAACTATCGTGAAAATACGATGAGTAATTTCTACGTCGATGCCACGATAAAATGTAGGAAATCCACCGACTTTCAAAATTTAATGTAAGGAAAACGCCTTAATAATCGATGGTTAAATATTACGACGAATCAATAGTTCGATATTGTATAACGTTCACGAGACTTTTATTAATCAACGTAATCGATCTTTGTTGAAATCATATTTGATTTATTCAGTTACCAAGACATATGATTTGGTTTCGTCGCGATGCGGTGATTAAACGAATTATAACCTAATAGTGAATTATTATTGAGAAAATTACAAAAGCGTATTCGTTAGCTTCGGTCGATCTAATTGACCGGCATGGTAATTCGTAATAATCATTGTTAAGGTTAAACGATGGTCACCGGGATCACGATCCTATTAATAGTAAAGTAAATGTGAATGAAATTATTATCGAACTATTGACTATCGAAATATATAGTTTGGAGAATCGAAAATTATCGTGATTTCTTTCTAAAAGGGTTAAAAAGAAACAACACTGTCGTCTTACCCGTAATTTCGGCATTTATAACTGATAACATATCTTCGAATTACTTTCCAAAATAGATACGACGTAGATGCTTTATTTAGGAATAGAGGGGAAAGATTAGGAAATAGAAGATTCCAAGAAATTATTGTACACATATCTGACGAAGAAACGTTTCGTGTGAATTATTATATCGCGATAATGGGATGTTTATCATCGACAATGTTTCACTTTACACATTCGTAATCTTTGTAATAATAATATATATCGACTTCCTAATCTATTTCAATATTTCTATTATTAATCATAAAATACGTTTTCCATTATTTTCATCCGTATAATCAGGAACAATGGTACGGTGTTTTACATAATAGATATTTTTTCTACGTTTTTTGTATTTTTCTCCATTGTGATTCACGAATCGCTTCGATGCTTTTTCTCAATTTCGTAACCTTGGCGTTCGTTGCTATTTACTTTACACGTTTCGTTCGTTACTCAACTCGGATCGATGGACAATTACTAGAAATAAAATATTCGTATTAAAAATATCGTCGATAACTTTTTTTTAGCGTTTTCATTAAAGATATACATACATTTTTTTCAGTATACTTCTGGATATCATTGCAACATGAAATATTATCGAAACTATTGAAATTGATTTCAAAACATTTATCGCGAGATAACTTATTAACAAAGGGGATTTCAAGATAAGTTTTTCAATCGTAATTTTTGTTGGCAACAAAAAAGTTGGTTACCCCAGTTAGACGTTCCAGGGTCAGGATATTTTCCCTCGATGGTTTATAAATTTTATAATGGTCGGATGGTATCTTGTTTGAATTCGATTACCATGCAAAGCAGACTGTCCCCGTCTATTTTTTCCCGCGGTTACCTATATTATTTTTCTCGATGTCGGTATAAAGTAAAACGAAACGGATACTTTCCATCGAAGTGGATATAAAACGCGACCTAGCGTTTGGTATTTATCGATCTAGGGTTATGAATAACGCTCGGTATCAAGCAACACCAGCTTTTGTTGTTCATCGTAACAGAACGACTCGAATAGAGAGTAGAGTGGCTGCTTATTGCTCGAGTTCTCTCAATAGTTCTTGCTTATATAATTCAAGGATATCGTTATGATTACTTGCGATGTACTTAACGCTCATGAATAATTTCATTGAATAACATTATTATCTCCGCGTTACTTTCCTTTTTTCTCTACTTTTTTTCTTTCTTTGTTATACCAACTTTTGTATAGATTTGAAGCTTGAAATTAAATCAGTTAGTCAATAAAGGTAATAAAACCGGGAAGAAAGGGGAGGAGCGTGGTGAAACTCTTATACTAATTAATGCACTGTTATATCATAATTACTCTCTATAAAGTTTATTACCGGCAAGAGGAGGAAACACGGTATGAAAGTTTCGCGTGGCAAACTATTTCGTTTAATAAATCCCGGTCATCACGACGATGACGAGGACGTGTCTTGATCAGGGGAAAAGGTGTTCCAATTTATCGCACTCTAGAGCAAAAAATGATCGAAAATTAACCGATGCGTGATAAGTCAGGGTGGAAATTACGATCGTTGAATTACAATCTTGGCCACGTGCATGGTATCGTGGTACACGTCGAGGGATACGCCTCGTATACACGGAAAGTTTAAGGTCACATTTACACGAAATACCTTTCCCTCTGTACGACTCGAACTTAACTCGTGCTTACCTTGAGCTGTAAAGAAAGGTCGATGCAAATGACGTAATTGAAAATGCTAAAGATAGTTTCCTCGCTCGTAAACGCAATCCTGCACACTAATTTTATTACAATTAAGATTTTTTTTTTATAGAATATAATATTTTTATTCTCGGAAAATTCTTCCGTATTCCAATGCCGTATTGATTTCGCGTTAATAATGCATAATCGGATTGCAAATTGTTTCGTCCACGCGATTGTTGTTACGATCATATCTCGCGAGAAGAATGAATCCCGATTCGGTGAGTCAACGTTGATCGATGGACTCGAGTCATCGGTCCAAGGATAAGGTCTTCAGCATTTGTCTTTTAAATACGGCACGTTCGCGCGGAACTATAACTCTGTGCAGAAGAGGGTTCAGATAATCCAGTTTCGTAGCCCACGCATACCAATATAATGGAAATAGTTAACAACCTACGGTCAAAGACCCCTATCAATCCTCCGGACAATTCGGATGAAATTACTACGAGTACGGGGAAGAAGATTTTATCCAGACGATCGATCTTCAAATTGAACGGATCTACGGATTGTTATTTATTAAAATTTAACGTTCGAATACGTTATAATAATGTAATGATTGTAAAGATTATACCGATAAATTTCAAAAAATATTTTATCTCGTTTCGGAAAAAAATACGATTATTTATCGATGCACCGATAATTGGTAAAGGGACACGTGAAAGAGAGAGAAAAAAATTGAGATCAGAGTGTTCGCATCTAATCTATCGCACGATAACGGAGAATTTGCCGGTTTAATTTAATATTATACGCGTATAACGATGCGGTATGTTATTACGTGGCAAAATTTATTGCAGAAGAACGTAGGGTATGTCGTTGGTAGTAGAATAAATGACGACCTAATTGCTACGCTCCTGATGAAACTAGAGAGACTCCACGTACCGTACATTCTTTTACGCTTATGACGTGTGCAATTTCTGACGTACAGACAGAAATCCTCCTGTTATTTGATTTTTTTTATTTTCCACGGATATTTCATTCCCCTCCTCTATTTTCGAACGGGGTTTCTAACCTGGGAAGGGATAAACTATCTTTACGAGAGTTATTCTTTGATCCTCGTAGTAGATTTCTACAAATATTTTTATCTTCGAAGGTGTATAATTCTCTATCTCGAGACGACACACGCGCCTACATCAAAATTTGAATAAACAAATCTATAAGATGGAACGATGGAAGCAGCAGACACTTGTAGAATTTTCGTAATTCGTTCGTCAACAGATGATAGCAAATAACGAAAGATCTGCCTTCTGGTGAGTTTTCCATTTGCTTCGGTAAAGTAAAATGATTCATCGTTCGCGGAATCCGGGCTTAAGTATATTACGTTCGTCGTAAGAGAGCAAGTCGTTAAACACTCACCTCGCTTAATTACAATCACGACAATTATTTCCACGGTTTAACCGAAAATCCTCGAACGAGCTTAATTTACCGATATTTAAACGCAAACTTTTAAATTATATAACTCGTTTGCTCGCATATAATGGATCACAGATCGTTTCCAACGATCACGTTGCGTTTTATTTGCATATGGCGAATCAAGCGCGTAACGTTTTCGTCACAGTACGTGGTTGGAGGAGTAGCACGACCTACTACTCCTCCAACTACCTACCACGGTCGTTGACACGGTTTCTCTCCTTGGACGAATCTCTTCTCTCCCTTCGGCCGAATTAAACAAAGGACTCGTGCGGGCCGAAGGCGGTTGGTGTTGGAGGGGATCCAAGGGTCAAAGCGGTCGTAAAGACCAACGGTCAAAATTGTACGGGGAGGGCCGAGAGTCATTTGGATGCGGTGGAAAGAAGGTGAAACGTCCCGTGAAGAAAAGTTACGTGGCAGGTGCGTTCTCCATTCGTACCCACACAAGCACGAGCGACGTAGCTGCGAGTAGAATATATATGTGTGTGTGTGTGTGTGTGTGTGTGTGTACACGCCTATGACGACCAACAGGTTCTCTCCGGAACAGGTTTCGGTGCCTATTTTCGGCCCTCCTTCGCTGTCTAAAGTCCTCAAATTACGACCAAGCCAGTCTCTCTTACCTTCTGATCGCTCTTGCTTTCCTCTTAACCCCTCGACAGGGAGCGCACATTGGACGTGCGTAATTAAAACGCGAGGATTATGGGTTTTTCTACGCTATGCTTCTTCTTTCTTTCTTTCTTTCTTTCTTTCTCTCTTTTCTCGTGAAACGCGATATTTAGAATTTTTCCTCCCGGATTATTTATAATACACAGATTTCGAATAGGTGTCAAAGTTGGACAGATAGGATAGAAATTTAATTGTAACAGGTTCGCCGCTAAATATCGTTTGCCGTTTGAATCCCTCCAACTCGTTTCGATCGAATTAATTAAGTTGCCGCGATATTTTGACGCGATAATTTCGTCATCAATTGAAATGGCTCGTACAACTGGGCGCGCCTCCCTCAAATAAACGTAATGTATTAAAATACATTATCCGGACGATGATTGGCGATACCATCATAATAAAGGTATTTATAGTTTGCGCGAGTTTGTATTG